CAATCAATCAATTATCAATCAATCAATCAATCAATCAATCAATCAATCAATCATCAATCAATCTATCATCAATCAATCAATCAATCAATCAATCAATCAATCAATCAATCAATGAATCAATGAATCAGTCAATCTTTTTTTTTTTCCCCCCTACCACCCACCACCCCCTAGCCCCCGAACAAACTTTTTGTTTTTTTGTTTGTTTTTATATTGGGGGGTAGCCCCCCCCCCCCCCCCCCCCCCCCCCCCCTCCCCTCAGATCCCATTTCCTACCCGGAGAAGGCCTCGAAAATGTGTCGTACGGCCCGTATGACTGTCTGGGGGCCCGTACGTACGGTCGTACGGCTGTTTGTACTTCCCGTATCTGTAGGGGGGGACATACAGGTTAGTGGAGGGGTGTAAAAAAGTTTGACCCATGACTGATTGACTTTTCTTGAAGCACATAGACATGCAAACAATAAAAATGGAGAACCAAGTCAGAAGGAATAGTGGGGTTACGTATTTGATGCAACATGTTTAAAATCTGAGTATAATCTATACAATCGGGAATGATGGGTTATGTTTGTAGAGTTCGATAGCCGATAGGGGACAAAAGATACATTTTTACTAACTCTACAATATAGATGACCGTCGAGTCGAGGTAAAAACAAACTTTGAGATAAATTACTTATCAATGAAGAACTGTTGGAACCAGGGCTAGCCGAGTGCAGTGGGGGGGGGGACTTTGAGGGGGGGGAGGAGAGACAAACTTTAAGAGGGAGGAGGTACGGGCACAAATAATACCTATAGTAGGCGTAGAGGATGGAGAAAGATATGAAATTATAGAAGAATGGAGAGTCAATAGAGGTTTAGTAAGTAGTTGATGGATCCTAGAACAACCACTATCCTTCAAGGAGTCAAACCGAGCAGAGGCAACATCGCCACTTTTTAAAGTTTCATAACAATGAGAATAATGATGAAAGGTATACAATTATCGAGCAACGCTGAAGTTCTTGGTCTACACCACATGTAGTCGGTTGAACATCACTCTAGATAAGGACTTCGGGAGATTGACTTCTCTCATCAGGTAAACCACAACAGTCCTCACAATTGATTTGAAAATCTTCTCAGAGAATTTCAATTTCGGAATTAATCGTTTACGATAAAAAAAACGGGTTCAAAAGGTAGAGGGCAAGGGATAATTGACTTAACAGTAGTGTAACAATAATTTCTATTATCGTGACAATTATTGCATGAGTTAAAGTAGGCTAAGGCATAGTACCCGATACTAGGTACAACTAGGCAGAACAAACCTTCATCAAGATTAAATAGAAAAAAAAAAAAAAAAAAAACATCACTACTTGGCCCAGCTATCGGCCAAAAAAAATAATAATATAGAAACATTTCTAGTCCGATGAATTTGGGCGTTCCAGTAGTTTCCTAAAATAATGGCTTGTTTACGGGCACAACTTTATGAAGTATTGGTAGTTTAATAACTACTATTATGTTTGCATCTCCTCCCTATGTCCTCACGTCAAAATTTAGCGATGGCATACCTAATCATACAGTATGAGGCTTCGACAAAGATTCTTTGAACACGTGACCAGAGGATGATAAAATCAAGCAATGCCATCCACAATTCTACATATAACAATTCCATGATTTGTCGGCAAGGAGATTCAATCAAGCTGAAGTCACAAGTTTACAACCCAAAAATGCAGGGAAAGGGAAAGAGAAAGAGAAAGAGGGAAAAGACAGAGTGCATGAGCAAACAAAGGGATATCGGTGAAATAACGAAGTGAAGAGGGGAGAGGAGGGACATAAAAGTCAGACAGGGAAGATCAGCAGTGGATGAGAAAAACATAAGAAATGGAAGGAGAAGAGAAGAAAGAGAAAAGAAAGAGAGGAAAGAAAAAAAAAAAGAAACAGATAGGGGAAGGTAGAAGAGGAGAGACAAAGGGGAGGCGTGTGAGAACGGAAGAAGGTAAGGGAAAAACGGAAAGACGAAAATGGCAGAGCAACGAGTCTTTAGAGTAGAGAGAGAAGGCGAAAAAAATTCTCCTGAAGCCAAGCGCTTTAGGTGGGGAACTCAAAGATGCTGGTTTGACCGTCATTCCCAGCTCATGAAAGCACTTCATATCGCATGCTATCTCAAAGCTCGATATCGGCTATGCCTAGAAGCACATAAAGTTGCACCAATCACGTTGCATATCAGATATAAAAACCTCCATATAGGGTTTTGAGGGCAATGAGATGGGACACACGTAGCACATCAAACTTCCCTTCTCACATCACACCATGCCCACTGTACATCTGGCATGCCAGCTCCGCATGCACCAATACATCCTGGCTTATCTTGGGTCGCCAGGGCCAGCCAAGAATGGCGGCCATGGCTTAGGTCAACCACTGTCAATCCTGTGCAACTTCGAGCTCCTGACCCTAGGTCCCCTAGCGCCACCACCAGCTATCATCATGGCACCAGGTATGTGCCAAGTTTTGTTAAGGTATAGAAAAAGAAAAAGTCCAAGTTTTTGGCAAGGTCAATGCTCGGTCTTGCATTAGCGCCGCCTACCCCCCAACCGATGGCCCCACCCTACTCCCTGACCACCGCCATTTAGGGCGGGGGGTATGCTTGCAGGGGTCCCCTGTATAGACCTCCGGGATGTTGTAGAGGCTAATTACCAGGCGCACAAGGATCACCGGGAGCGATGAGCCTTCGTAGTCCTAAGATACGAGGTCACCTCCCACCCTACCACTCATCAATACTCCCAGCGTACCCCCTAACCCAACTATCTTACTTCAGTGTAACCCACTCAGGACCGTCACCCAACCGCTAGCTGGGTGACTTGGACCAGACAGTAGTGATAGGCACCAAGGCTAGATATTACTTCACCCCCAGTGGAAGCGAAATCGGACAGGCCTCGCTGTACGGGAACTTCGGACGCTAGGCACCACTATGTTCTACCAACCTCGTATCCTTATTGCAGAGATCATAGATAGGAGTATTGGTAGGTAGATCGTGAAAGGTATACATTAGTTAAAAAAAATAAAAATCTTGGCACCTGGCCCTTAGGGGCAGGCTCCACTAGTACATGTGCTGATGGTCAGCATGAACCTGGGCATCGGGCCCTGCACCTTGGCCTCGTGTCCTACTTCTAGACCCACCTTGACACCTGGGCCCTGGCCATTAATGTCAGGGCCTTCTTCCAACTTCCCTGGACTTGCCACGGCCAGTCAGGGGGGAGCAGAACCTGGTCCGGACCCCCTTTGACATCTGGCCCTCAGTCTCAGTCTCAGGGCTACTTCGACAGCCGTTCAGGGGGAATGGAAGCAGGAACCTGGTCGTAATCGTGATTGCGTTTGTGCTTTGCTGAAACATACCACCAGCAGGCGCGTGGCCAGGTGCATATGAACTTGTTTGGGTCGCCCAGTGGAAAGGTTGACCGCATCCCTAAGTTCCAAGTGGACTTGAGACAGCTGGTCAGGGGGAATGGAAGCAGGAACCTGGTCGTAATCGTGATTGTGTTCGTGCTTTGTTGAAACTTCGCACCAGAAGGCGTGTCGCTTGGATCGGCCAGTGGAAACGTTGACGGCAACGTTGACCGCAACGTTGACCGTAACGTTGACCGCATCCCTAATCCCTAAGTTCCAACTTGTGGACGGCATTTCTTGAAACGGCAAGCGCGCTACGCGGCGAAGCGCAAGAGGGTATAGCGCAGCCTCCTGGCTGCAAATTGGCGTGCGGATCGGGCAGTGCGGACGTTGATCGCACCCCTTAGCTCCAAATCCCCTTCTGAGAAAGCGGTGAGGCGCTGAGGTCATTCGACGGCGCACGTGGTGCGATGAGCTCGGATAAGACATGCAATGCAGTGAAAATGGGTAAGAGGCGGAGTGAGAGCGGAAGACGAGGTTGGATGAGGATCGGATGAATCTGCAGCAGTGGTCATCAGAACCGAGGTTGTTCTGTGTTCTGTCGTTGCGAGTTCTGGCATCCAGCCTGACATCGCCGAAAGCACTGGAGTGATCAATAGAGAAGCGATCAATAGAGAAGCGATGGATAGGGAAGCGGTCAATAGGGAAGTGATCAACAGGAAGCGGTCAATAGGGAAGTGACGAGTAGGAAGCGGTGAATAGGGAAGCGACCAATCGGGAAGTGAGCAATCGGAAGTGGAAGTGGAGTGATCGATAGGGAAGGAAGTGGAGTTAGGAAAGGAAGCGAGGTGAAGTGATCAATAGGGAAGCGATCTAATAAGGAACTGATCAATAGGGAAAAGTGAAGTGATTAAGAGGAAGTGATAAATAGGGAAGTGACAAATAGGGAAAAAGCAGCTGAGTTGTGACTGGGAGGACGACCACCATCGGATGCCGGCCATCGATGGTCGTTACGCGAGATCCACGCGTGGTAGTATGGCGATCGGGGCAACACGGTCAGTCTCAGCAAGTTTGCTGCTGCTCGCCTTGCACTTGCAACGACCTAGCCTAAGGCTGAGGTCATTGATGCTGATGGTAATGATCACGATGACGTGGCAGTTCTCTTCAGCAATAGGAGCCACGGCGATGACGCCGCCCACAAGCGGGTTTCAGCATCTGTCTCGGTCCGAGGGGGTGGCCCTGTTGAAGGCCTTCTTTGTCCGCCATAGCCAGAAGCTTTGCGAGGATGTTGCCAGCCTATCGACGTGTCTATCATATCGAAGTCTCTTGTTCGCTGCGCCGATCCTTCTTGCAGCGATGGCTGCTGCCGCCGGCGGATTGGCCATGATCGCGGTCCGGATGCGACGGTCGGGATCGTCAACGGCAGCGGAACTGGAGGGACGGGAGCTTCCGCCGCCGGGACCCCGGCCGTGGCCAGTCGTCGGGAACCTGCTGCAACTAGGCAGTCTGCCGCACAGATCGCTGTCGGCGCTCGCTCGAACCTACGGCGACGTGATGGGAGTCTGGTTGGGATCCCGGTACACCGTGGTGCTGACGAGTCCCGCTGCAGCCAAGGAAGCGCTAACTGGGCACGGACATCGCTTACTGGGTCGGCCAATCACTCCGACATACAGCCTGATCAGCGGCGGAGGGCTCGACATCCTGTTCGCGCAGTATGGACCTGATTGGATCAAGCGGCGGAGGATTGCCCATCTGGAGTTCTTCGCATCAACGGTCATGCAGAAGCAGATGACGTTAGCGAGGAAGGCGAGTATGGGAAGACTGCTGCAAGTGTTGCAGTCGAAGCTCGTGGGAGAGGGAGGTGGTGGTCGTGGGCGTGGCGATGGGCATAAAACGGAGTTGGATCGGGATAGCGACCGGAGTAGGGAGGAACACTCGACCGACGTTGACCAGCTTACTGTTGACGACAACAGAAACGAGCAGCAGCAGCAGATGGAGACGGGAGAGCAGAAGAACAAGCTGCAGCAAGCTGGCAACGGCAAAGACGAATCGTCGTCGTCGTTCTCCTCCCCCTCCTCCTCCTCCCCCCTTTCTTCTTCTTCTCCGTCGTCATTGTTGTCTTCTTCTTCGTTGCCGTCTGCAGAATGTGTGCCAATCGCTATTCGGGATTACTTGTTCGTGTATCAGCTAGATTTGGTCTGTTGGGTGTTGTTCGGTTGTCCCATCAGTCGTTGGGACTGGGATCGGGATTGCTCTTGTCACGGAGCTCAGGAGCTTCAGGTTGGTGTCGAAGGGAAGGAGGAATTCGATAAACGAGAGAGTCCGGCGGCCGAGACGACAAGGACGAAAGAGATGACCGAAGAGGCTGAGCATGAATGCCCTGAGCGCGATGCAGGTGCGGCTCACTCCCCGGCAGCTCAAGAAGAAGTACAAGGAGAAGAACAAGGAGAAGCAGGAGAAGGAGAAGGTAGGAGTGGTGCACGCTTCCGCGTACGAGGGACATCCGGCGCCATCGGCAGCAGCGCGCCAAGCAATACCACCGGCAGTAGCCCATCGTCTCCACCGGGGTCGTCATCCGAATCCCGATCCCCATCTGCACACCGATGGAGGCAGTTCTTCTGGGCGACTCGTGGCGGCAGCGATCGTCCTAGCCGTCGAGCGGGAGAAGGCTCACAAGAACTTCAAGTCGAACTGATGAAGACGGACCCGACGCGGGAAAGCCAGAAAGAAGTGGAAGAATACCGCGACGTCATCACAAAATTCTTTGAGGTTGCCGGGGTGGGGAGAATGGTCGACTGTGTCCCGATCTTGAGGCCGGTGTTCTCGTGGCAGCTGCTGCAGCGCAAGCTCCTGTACTGGAGGCTGCGCGCTCTGGTGAGAGCACAGATGTTGAGGCGGCGGCCACGTGAACAGAAAACTCCCAATCAGACGCAGCAAAAAGATATGGATAAGGTAATCAGCGTTCAGAAGACGGGTAATGATGATGACGAAGCGGCCACTAGCGGTAGTACGCGGAGTGTTTCTGAGCGCGCCGCCGTGCATCAGGGTCAAACTGGGCTCGGCATAACCGATGACTCCGGTGATGCTGGTCGGGATCGGGACGAGGATCGTGGAAAAGAGCCGCAGTCTGCTCAGGAGAAGGACGAAGGCAAAGAGGTATCCCCTCCACGAGGAGGAGAAGGTCAAGGAGAAGGAGGAGGAGGAGGAGGAGGAGGAGGGGTAAGTGGAGCAGAAGGAAAGAGAGAGGAGAAGCTATGGCCGCTTGAGGAAGGAGAGGAAGGTCATTCACTGCGAAAGACGGAGAAGAAGGAGGTGGCTATGGCGGAGGAAGCTGGGGAGCATACGGCGGCCAAGGGAGGGAAGGCTGAGGGCAGTATGAAGGAGAGCGAGGTCAGTAGACTGCCCTGCTGCCCTGCCCTTCATGGATGTCAACCTCTTGTCGATACTCTAACGGAGAAGTACAAGTACGAGCAAAAGGCAGAGACTCCAGAGAGCAAAGATAACCTTACCGAGGACGAGATGATTCTTATCCTCATCGACCTTCTGGTCACCGGTGAGCACGACACGTGGCTTTTCCAAATTTCCACAGCTTCCTCGCCGCTTCGACATCTCAGACTCTTGTCGACCTTCCACCTTCTATGCCTGTTGGGATGATGGAATCGAGCTCTTTTTCTCTTTCTCTTCTTTGTGTTTTTTTTGGGGGGGATAATTTGCGAAATACCCCCATAAGTTGCGATATATGCCAAAATGCCCCTGAAAGATGTGGGTAGAGCGGAATGCCATTTTGGGCCGAAATCTTTCTGTTATGACGGAATGCCCCTGCAAGATGTGGGTCGAGCGGAATGCCCTTTTTTTTTTGCGTGTGTGTGTTTTGACTCATCTCATATCAGCTTGGCCAGTTGGTACTACCTTCTTGCCACCGAATACAACGTACGGTCATTATTGCGTTTTTTTGGGCTATCTTTGCGTCTAAAATACGGCTACAATTACCGTACGTTGTATTCGGGGGAAAAAGGTAGTAGAAGTCCTTCGAACTTCTATTATTATTATTTTTTTTTCTCTGTGGAGAAAAGCGGAGGACTAATATGAAATTATGAATTGACCAGAAACAGAGAAACGAGTCATCGATCGAATAAACTCCGCCGCCGTACCCGTTTGTGCTTTCAACTATTATACCATGTTTGCTTCGAAATTAACGAATTTGTTTGCGACCGCCGACCGGCGACCGGGTCCACGGTTTTTTCTTTTGTTTTTTTTTTTAATTTGGACCATTTCTCGATTTATGCGTGTCATCCTTGCGCAGGGGCCATGCTAATCTTCTCTGTATCGTTCCAATTTTAACGGATGTCCACGGTTTTTCACTTGCTCGGTGTCAAAAAAATCTATCCGTTCTCAGAATAGTTGAGATAAAAAAGAAAACACTGAAACAAAGGAAAGTTCGCATACCCGTTCATTTTCAAGTTTCAAAAAGTGAGAGATCCATTCTCTCTCTCTCTCTCTCTCACACACACACACACACACACACACACACACACACACACACACACACACACACACACACACACACAAAGACAGAGAGAGAGAGAGAGAGAGAGAGAGAGAGAGAGAGAGAGAGAGAGAGAGAGAGAGAGACAAACACACACACACACACACACACAGAGAGAGAGAGAGAGAGAGAGAGAGAGAGAGAGAGAGAGAGATGTGGGGAGTGAGTTTGTGTGCAACGACAATTGACGTGGCAAATCTCGTACGTGAGACTCGGTGAGAGGCACAGAAAAGGGGGACTCCGAGCAGCAAGTAAGGCAAACATAACCTAGAACAGCAAAGAAAGGCCTGACAGTGTCTGTTTGTTTATCTCGCCAATCAGTTTTTATTATTCTAAATTCTACTTACTATCAGGTGCGATTCGGAAAAAAGCGAAGTTGGCTGGCTGCCGTTAGATCCCGTAACAATCGCTATGATCAACAACTGTTTATGGATCCGCATCATCATTTATATTATTTATATTATACTTAATGCTTGACGTTCTCAACTTTCCCTTGTTTTATAACTGCATGAGCAACTGCATGAGTAACTGCATGAGTAACTTGTCTGTCTACCTAATGGACTCTTTTAACTCTACTACAGTAGAGTAGTATATTTCACATGATTTCAGTGACATGTAAAGCAAGAGCAGGCATGAAAGATCTGCGCAAGGCTATAAGCATAGGGGCGTCGCCACACCACTCTCGAAATGTGCAAAAGACAAAAATGTGGCCGGCGCATCTGGCTGTGTTCTAACGGGAAGTTCATTCTCATTTTGCACATTTCGAGAGTAGTGTGGCGAGGCTCTAAGGTAGAACTATTTAAACATAAGGAAAAACTGCATGAGGGGTCTATATAACGGCGAAGAAAGAATTGGATGACGACACGGCAAAATATCATCATGATGGTTCAAATTCGTTTTTCGGCCCTTCTCGTGTAGCACTGCTTCCTGAAAGTCCAGAACGGACCCACCATTTTGTGATTTTGTGTCGATTCGACATCTACTTATCTGGGTGGCAAAGGGGTTCAGAAGTAGACCGTTCATTTGTAGTGTGCATTGCATCGAATATTCCATGATCCGATCTCAAGAATCGAACACGTGATCTCCCACGTGGGAGATGCTCGCTCAAACGAAACTGTTACAGCGAAGGTCAAGCAGGTTGATAAAGGGCAGACAGGTCATTTGATATTTTGATATACACGAGGAGTATTATTACCGAATGTAGTCGGAAAGGTGACCAGATTAGGGCACACATTTCATTTGATATACACGGGGATTATTGTTACGGAATGTAATTGGAAACAAGACCATATAAGTCCTTTGGGACATCCGTTAAAACTGGAACGATACAGAGAAGTTTTTTTTTTTAATTTTAATTGTATTATTATTATTATTTTTTTACAGAGAAGATTAGCATGGCCCCTCCGCAAAGATGAATCAAGTAAATGGTCCAAATTTTACAAAGAAAGAAAAGAAGTGAAAAAAAAACCGTATTCTGGGCATACTCACACTACGCCATTTTTTACGTATATTTGGACGGAATTGCGGCCAGATACATCCAGGTATGGCCGCGAATGCGGTCAGATACATATTAGATACTGCTAGTGTGAGTATGCCCTCTGTTCAGGGGTGAACCAACTGAGCTAGGCCAGTTGGTAGTAGTACTTCCACTGTGCGCGATGTCAGTGGGCATGGGAAACCAACAGACATCTCTGGGTGGACTGTCCATTCTCTGAACGAATCTGGTCTTGGTGGCGCAGACATTGGTCGAAGCTTCCCTGGTCCCAGTTCGAGTGGTCAGACAAATTTATCCTCTACGGAATCCCTTCAACTGCCTCTAGGGGTGACTCAGCGGCCTGCTACACGGCACAAACCTTCAGAGGCATCCTTATGCCAACCATCTGGGGGGAAAGGAACTCGCACGTCTTTCGACAAGAGCGCTGTGTAGATGTGCAACTGAAGGCTGCAATTCGAGCCACATGTCGACAATGCATCTGGGCAGATTGGTTCCGGAAAGCTTAAGGTGGCTCAGCCAGAAAAGGAGCTGCCTGGTTCTGGAACACCTGGGGTAAGAATCAGAGTCTGGTTAAGCCAGGTAGCAATGGGAGACCCGCTCTCTCCCCGTGGTTGACACTGAAACCCTTTTAATTATTGAGCTGCGCGTATTTCTGTAGGCCCGCGTCCCAGCTTTTTGTTAAAATTAGTAGAAGCTGTTTACTTTCGTAGGTTCAGGTTGTTCTTAGGCTGCAATATAAGGCGACATCTGAGGCCAGCTCAGGAATTTTAGATCAGGATTTTAGCATGTTGATGTCTTGCAGCGGGCCTTCATCTGCCCTGGCCTACAGCCAGGGCCTATTTGGCTATTTGCCAGTTCGGCCTGTGGGACCAGGCCGTGGCCTGACCCCACAGGCCGTATATTGTTTCAGTCCAGTCCAGTCCCGCCCGGTACCACGGTTGGTACCAGGCCAGTCCAGTCCAGTCCAGTCAGTCCGCTGGGGGTATACCCCAGCTGCAGTCTGTTTTTTCGTCATTCTTCACTTTCGCAGATCTTGGAGTACTTGCGTGTGGAGTCTGCGTCGGAGCTGCGCTGTCCCCTCCAGCTCCATCTCTACCTCCTTCTTCGTCTCCATCCTAGCGGACCGCCATCCCGGCGGGTCCGGCACATGTCTAGACATCTCGCATCTAGATTATCTTTTCGCTCTATCAGCAAGACTTGAGGGGCATTCTTTTCAGACAGCCTTTTGGTTGAGAGGTCTTACAATAGGGTGCAGCTACCTTGGAACAGAGACAGTATTAGAAGGTCTTTTGAAACATCTTTGTTTTTGGACAGTCCTTCCAAGAGGTTGGTCCCCTGCAGGGCTTCCCCTGTAGGCAGAATTGGGTAATGCTCCCAAATGTTTCTCTTCCGGGTAGACTGCGAGGACCCCGGCCTCAGGTTTATATTAAAATGAGCCTTGGGCACTGGGCCCATTTCTAATAAAAAAAAAATAATAATAATAAACACCCCACTGTCTCACGCAAAGCATGGCAAGATGCATCTGTTACTATAAATAGCGACGGATGCATCTTACCTCTTTCTGGGGAAGATGCATCTGTGCTTTTTTTCGTTTCGACAGTGGTCCACCTGTCGAAACCCCAAAAGGAAGGGGTAATTGGTGGAAAGCGCCCACGGCAAGACTTTTTGGGTCCTTCGGGAGATTTGTTAAAATTGGAACGATACAGAGAA